TCGTTTTCCTTATTACAAATGCAATACTTACTACAGAATAATTAAGATACAATTAAGTGAAAAAAAGTCATAGGAAAATCACATGCCTCCAGATATTTTCATGTATCCAGATACCACCACTAATAAAACCTTGATGTTATATTTCCAAATCCTAGTCTATGTTTAAGTTGTTTAAGTAAGTTTTATTGACTTTAGGCACACTATCATAGTTTACATAAGCATCCCATCAATTGTGAAACCCGAAAGGTTTCCAACTAACCCATTCTTTTTTTTTCCTTTTTTTTTAAATTGGAGTATAATTGCTTTACAATGGTGTGTTAGTTTCTGCTATATAACAAAGTAAACCAGCTATACATATACATATATCCCCATATCTCCTCCCTCTTGCGGCTCCCTCCCACCCTCCCTATCCCACCCCTCTAGGTGGACACAAAGCACCGAGCTGATCTCCTTGTGCTATGCGGCTGCTTCCCACTAGCTATCCATTTTACATTTGGTAGTGTATTACTTCTCTGCATTTTTTTTTTTTGGCTGCATTGGGTCTTCGTTGCTGTGCGCGGGCTTCCTCTAGTTGCGGCGAGCAGGGGCTACTCTTTGTTGCGGTGCACGGGCTTCTCATTGCGGTGGCTCCTCTTGTTGCAGAGCACAGGCTCTAGGAGCTCAGGCTTCAGTAGTTGTGGCTCACGGGCTCTAGAGCGCAGGCTAAGTAGTTGTGGTGCATAGGCTTAGTTGCTCCGCAGCATGCGGGATCTTCCCGGACCAGGACTCAAACCCGTGTTCCCTGCATTGGCAGGTGGATTCCTAACCACTGTACCACCAGGGAAGCCCTCTGCATTATTTTTAAAGTTCCCGTTCTAAGGCTTAGAATATCTATCCTTAACCTTTCATAGCCTACTTAGAGTTAATATTGAATCTCTTCAGACAGAAGGACCATCACCCTTTACGCTATAGTTGTAATATACACATTACACCTAAATACATCATAAATCCCACAACACAGTGTTCTAAAATTTGCTTTTAACAATCAGATGCATTTTTTAAAAATTAAAAGGGAAAAAAGTCTATATTTATGCAGCAATTTACGATTTCTGAAACTCTCCATTCTTTCCTGAAGATCTGAATTTCCTCTGGTGTCATTTCCCCTCAGCTTTCTTCTTCTGGCACTCTAAGAATCTTGTTTCTCTGCTTTCAGGACTCTGTAGTTCATGGGAAGCCCATCGCCATTCAAATTATTGTTCCCCTGTATATGATGTTACTTTTTTTCTGAATGCTTTCAAGATTTTCTTGCTATCATTGGTTTTCAGCATTTTGACTATGATAAGCCAATGCAGTTTTCTTTATATTTACATTGTTCAGGGTTTGCTGAGCTTCCCGAATCTTAACCAAATGTGGTTAACTAAATCTACAGTTTGGGGGTATTATTTCTTCAAATATTTACTATCCTATCTCTTTCTCTCCTCTCCTTTCGAGACTTCAGTAACATGTTCTATCTTTTTTTTTTTTTTTTGCAGTACACGGGCCTCTCACTGTTGTGGCCTCTCCCGTTGCGGAGCACAGGCTCCGGACAC